ATCAACGATTGACGGAGGACCAATTAAATATTATTTCGTAAACTATATATATAGTGCAAGATGGGATTGTATCCGGCCATGGACAAAGTGGCTCAAACATTCGAAACGCCAACTGGAACGAGAACGCGACATGCAACTCGGATTGCACAAAAAGTACCATCAGGCCGTCGATGGCGTGGACACGGCCCTCGTGGTCGCCGACATGGGACGGCTTGTTGTCGAACATCGTGGCCGCACCCGTCGTCCTCGGGTTGGAAATAGCCGCTGGGGTATCGGGGCTGGCGGGAGTAGCCCTTAAATTCATTTCACGTCGTCTGCAACCAAACGTGCACGAGGCGAGCGAGACTGGTTCTGCGCTACTGTAGCTAGTATAGACAGAGCCCAGCTCAAGATAAATAATGGATTGTGGCCTCTGCAATTTTTTTTCAGCGTTTGTCGACTACTGTATCGTATTCAGTGTTCTTCAAACTACCTATGGGCATCGTGTTTGTATTTTGTGAGACATGGATTTGAGGTGAAAAAGTATTGAAGCCGAAGTGGTATGACGGGTTTCAGATATCCTTTGCGCTACTATAGACGGAGCCTGGTTTAAGAGGATGATGCAATCTCAGGATAGACCCGTTAAACCGAGCACTTGGCTATCAGGTCCTCTGTGGCTGAGTCGAACGACTGCTGGGTACGATCAAGGTCCAGAGATGCGCAACTCTGTGACCGAGGTTCGAAGCCTACCGTTCGAAAAAAACAACACGGAGCTCTCAGGGAGAGCGCAGTCGACAACAACCCCACAGGAGAAATACCAGCGCACCACAAACATCATCAGACCAGGGACCAGGCGGGTCTCTGGTCAAAACACCAATTTCTCCCTCCGTGGGTTGTGGCCACAGAGGGCTTTTGCTATTTTTTTATTTGAACTGGCACATCGAAGGATGGTTTTGCTATATTTTTAAGGGGGGCTGGGGAACTTATTTAATAAAAATAAGCTTCTAAGCCGCATCTGATGCAAAACCCCAACTCTATTACTACTTTAGGTTTATGGTTTAGGATTAGGTTCAGGGTTAGGGTTTTTATACAAAAAACCATCTATTCTTAGGCATAGAAGGATAAAAAGATATGGGGGTTACGGGCAGAAATCTTTCCGGTATGTTTTACGTTTTATGCATTAAGCAGGGATGGCAACAGGAAAATCTATTTTCATCTGAAAACTTAATATTGTGTGATCGAATGGGTGATTCTGGGTTTCTCAGCGGAAAGTGCCATCCCCCAATTAAGAGATTATGTCATTTGTATATTTATGTCAAATGAAAAGTCCCATTTCTACTTAAGTTCATGTCCTTAGAAGGAATCGAAGGGATAGTAGAGGGAACCATTTGGGTTTGTCATCAACACATACACACAAACGTCTCATTTGCCCAATAAACTTCAATGCAATGTTAAGCATCATTCACCTTAAGTCCCCTTTTGGTCTTCAGTAACCCATGCTTGTCATAAGAGGCGAATATGAGATCAAGTGGACAGGCTTGCTGACTTGGTTGACACATGTTATCGAATCCCAATTGAGGAGATCGATACTCATGATGCTGATCACTGGATTGTCTAGTCCAGACTCGATTATTTGCAGCCCACTGCCAAATATAACAAGTGTTTGCCACTAATATGGCAATGTCCCCTGCCGCTAAAAATGGAATATTCATAACGTATTTACTTTTTATTTTTTGCTCACATACAAGATGCCTGAAATCACAGGTGTCTGCATAATCACCCAATGTAAGCTGTCGACATAATTGAAGACATTGGGTGCAATGTTTTATGAGATATCGGGTTTACATAAGTGTGAAAAGTGGTCAAAGTGTCGTGGTGACCTTGAAGATAAGGTCAATGTCACCCAAATCACTTGTGTAATCCCCAAATATAGGCAGACTGTCTCCATGGTGTAGTGGTTAGAGCGTCCGCCCAGAGACCGGAAGGTCACGGGTTCGATCCCCGACCGCGTCATACCAAAAGACGTTAAAATATGGTACTTGTTGGTCCCTGCCTGGTGCTCGGCATTAATGGGTACAACAAGGACTGGTCGGCTCGGAGTCAGTATAATGTGTCTGAGTGGGGTATTCATGCTTCACTGAGGCATGGTATCTCAGTGGGCTAGCACTATAAAACCAGCTTCAGTCTGGGCTAGTACAAACAGCCGCACATACACATACACACGCATGCACGTCATCACATGAGTGAAATATTTTCAAGCACAACGTTAAACCCAATTTCACCTCACCTCACCCCAAATATAGGCTGTCACCAAATTTGAAGAAATTAGGTACGACAGTTCATGAGATATCACGTTAACAAGAGTTTGAAAATTGGTCAAGGTCACCAAAATGGACTGGTGTCTGTGTAATCCCCCAATGTAGGCTGTCACCAAATTTGAAGACATTGGGTATGACAGTTCGTGAGATAACGAGTTAACAAGAGAAAGTGTTGTGGTGACCTTGAAGATAAGGTCAAGGTCACCCAAATCACTTGGTGTCTGTAATCCCCAGATGTAGGCTGTCACCAAGTTTGAAGACATTGGGTACAACAGTTCATGAGATATAGCATTAACAAGAGTTTGAAAAGTGGTCATGGTGACCTTGAAAATAGGTCAAGGTCACCCAAGTGTCTGTGTAATCTCCCAATGTAGGCTGTCACCAAATTTGAAGACATTGGATACAACAGTGCATGAGATGTCATATTAACAGTTTGAAAAGTGTTCAAAGTGTTGTGGTGACCTTGAAGATAAGGTTAAGGTCACCCAAATAAACTGGTGTCTGTGTAATCCCTCAATGTAGGCTGTCACCAAATTTTAAGACATTGGGTAGGACAGTTCATGAGATATCGCGTTAACAAGAGTTTGAAAAGTGGTCAAAGTGTTGTCGTGACCTTGAAAATAAGGTCAAGGTGACCAAAATCGACTGGTGTCTGAGTAATCCCCCAATGTAGGCTGTCAAATTTGAAGACATTGGGTACAACAGTTCATGAGATATTGCATTAACAAGAAATGGTACGTACGGATGTACGCTGTTGAATTCATAGTCCCCGCGTTCCGCGTTGCAGCGGGGGACAACAAACCAACCAACTTACTAGGTCCCCTTTATGATGTAATGCATACTGAATTAAGGTCACATAAGGACTCATTAAACGTTGTGAGACCACTAAAAGACTATATGTAAGATGAGTACATAGTCCTGTATAACTGCACACTCCGGCACAGCAATGACTAACACAACATCACTGCCCCAGGCGAATTTGCATATCACGTGACCAGATTTTTGTCTTGTTTGTAATCAAACACGCATATTCATAATAAGAAGAGACTGGGCTCATGAAAGCTTTTCGGCGCTCTCTTCATAATGTTTTACATTGTTACATATATATTCTTTCACAACTGCGACGGTAAGGTGTATGACAGTACATATTTAGATATCAAACTGGCTGCATCGTTTGCTTTCCATCAGCTTCGATGACAGCATGTGGAACCGTACAACCTATGTAAACAAAGGATCGATACGCAAATCGAAATAGTGTTACGTTTTTGGATATTTTCTCAGTGAAACTTAAACCATTCTATTAAAGATGTTTAGTTAGATGTGTAGACCTGTCAAAAATATAAGAGTGAAAAAATGTGTACATTATATTGAATGGACATTGCAAGATGTTACGAATCGTCACATTTTTCTGGCCTGTGGCAGAGGTACTATGCTGGCTTGCCGCATGGAACTCTTGGTAGGAGAGTGGTATAACTGTTGTGACATTTGATGAGAAACCTGCCTGTATTTTGTTTCTGATGTTAGTCAGCAACAATGCGGGTGCGTCGTCGTGGACCTGGACAAGGGAGTCTGTGATGGCAAACAAGTGTTTGATAGTAGTAGCACAGATCCACACTGTTGGGGAACAATGACACACAAGCAACAAAATTGTACATTGTAGCTTCCCATTCTCAGAAACTGTTGGTCACACATGGGATACTGGACACCTATTCTGTTAGTTATAATGCAAGCATAACTGGACATATGTCCAGCTTATATGCATGTGTTACCTGACCTTGAATACAACAGTACCAAAGTAACAAAATACCTAAAATATCTAAATCAGATCTAAAATATGTTTAAACAACTAAGACACAAATATGCTTCTCGAAAATACAAATACTGCATTCATACTTCATGAGAATTGTGCTTCAAAATCTGTTCTGCATTTGACCTTATCCATCCATCCAAAATTTCATCCTGTTTACATCTCCAAACATCCGATCAGATTATCCCTATCAAGTTTTCAGTAGTATATTTAAGAGTATGTCACATATTTCTAGGTGGATTTACAAAAGCGTTTTCATGTTTGGTTTGTTGTTAAATACTACACTACGCAACTTCACAGCTATATGATAGCAGTCTGTAAATAATTGAGTCTGGAATAGACTTTCCAGTGATTGACATTATTATCAATCTACACAAGTGGGACATGATGACGTATGCCATTGTGTCTGACATCCCGATCCATAAACAGCAATACCTTTAGTCCGTTTGGCTCAAAAGCGGACCAATGAATTGCAATCTAACTCGAAAACTAATAAACATAACATACTCAATGAAACACTGATCATAATCAAAACATCATACCCACTCTGAGGTTTTTGCAGAATTTTTGTCCTAAAAATAAAAAAGTTGTTTAACAAACTATCATTAAAATATTGACACAGTTCACTGTTTGTTACGAGGGAGGAGTGCAGAGAAAGGGACAGCCAGGTGTTCGAGAAGCACGTTCACAGACAAAGTTATTTATTCATTAACCTGTGCTGTGCCGTCTCCATCCGTTCTTGAACACCAAAAGTTAAACAACTTTTTTATTTTTAGGACAAAAATTCTGCAAAAACCTCACAGAGTGGGTATGATGTTTTGATTATGATCAGTGTTTTGAGCCAAACGGACTATAATAGAACACCAAACATCAAGGAACAAAATCAAAGGGTATAATTGTGTGTACAGCATTTATTTTGACAAGACTATCATCATATGGCAAATTAATACAGTGATTTGATATTGTACAAGTTGAACTGTCCAGTTAGCATGAGTGTCTGTCAGCCTCAATGTTGACCGCCCAGAGGCTGCCTATGTACACAGTGACCCCGCTCTGGCTTAAACCTATATGCATATTTACAATTAGAACATCTTGCAAACATGAAGAGAACTGGAACTGATTACAAATGACCTGCCGCTCCGCCATGAACAAACGGTGAAATCACCAGCAAAGTCTGAATATATTGCACCTATATTCATACGTTTATCATCAGTAACTCTGATGTATACATTTTCAGCACCCTTGCAAGAGATTTCCTTTATTTTGAAATGCATAATATACAACCCTACAACTTATACATAAGGGCCCTATTCCACAAATCACTCTCAGACACCAACTATCGTAAGTCTATGAGATATATTTGGAGTTAATCGTCTCTGTGCCATGATGGTTATGAGTCGATGTTAAAGAGTCAAAATTACGACATGTTGCATTAAAACGATAATAAGAATGGTCTAAGTTTATGTAAAGTGTTGGAGTTACGATAGCTGTCACAGAAAGATGTTCATAAGTCTTTAAAGTACTGAACTTCCTAACATGTAACATTATTTCTGAGCCATGGTTCACAAAGTAATCACAGTGCTACATGAAGTAACAACGGTCGTGGCAGTAAGACAACTCCGTGAACTAGGTTGTTCTTTATCCAGTCAACACATATAAAAGCAGCAACTGTTTAACAATATCTTGATAAATGTTTACAAATGTTCATAAAATAGTCTGTAGAATGAGGGTGTATGTTACCGACTGAACAGCGCCACACCATGGTTCGAACTTGGAACTTATGCTGTCAACTATCTGACCCTTACACTTCAATGATGAAAGCAAACCCTGTGATTACTGCAGACAATACAAGTGATGCTCCTCATCAAGTTCTCCAATATGACACCAACACAATTAAAACACTCAAAAGCCAATACAAAATATCCTTTTAAAAAGAAAGCTTTGTATCCAGCAAAAACATACCTTCATTCGCAAGCTTATAAAACATTCCCATCATTGCAGTTGTTTTTTATTATGTACAATCAGGGACTATGGAGATATTTACAGAGGGAGTCGTTACCATAAAATCAACACATAAAAACACACCACAAAGGAAAAGGAATGGTTTCATTAGTCCATGTCACCATTAAGTGTTGACGTAGGTGTTATGTATATATCACTTAATATTGACAATCCAGAGCCAGGAAGACACAGCTGATCAGTCAGCTGGCATGTTTATTTCAAAACTATATATATGCCCATATCATGTTCTCCACTCGTGAATATTCTGTAACGTTTCACATTTCATTGCTTGGGTGCACATGGTAAAAATATCACATTTCAATAATTGCACCAAGTTTAATACACGTCGACAGAAGATCCAGACAGCTTTACAGCTTTACAACAGGCATGTCTCTCGAGACACAATATGTGATCAGAGACGGGGCCTGTTCCATGGTGTTACGACCATCAACTTGCGTAACTCATAAACATAACGACTATTTCGGCCAAGGGAAATGCAGTACACAGATTGTGAAAATCATCACCATTCTCTCCATATTTCATAATTTCTACACTTACAGGCAGTTTAGGAAATAATTGCAAAAACACAACTGACATCCGAATATATTTGATAACAAAAGTAACAGACATCAAAGGACTTTGAGATGTTAGTACAGCCAAGGTTACAATACTGTTTGACAGAACAGTCTGGTTATGGTACAATATCTGTACATGTTCTCTTGCATATCGTACAATACATCGATACTAATAACCCATTCTGTTGACAAAAAAAATAAAATAAATATTAACACAAATCCGACATTAACAGAAGACAAAATATTTCTACATAAATAAAGAATGAATCCAACACTTTGGAATTAATCTGGGGGTATCTTCAAGGCTAATATTTGAAATCAATGAAAATAATATATTAAGCTTTTGATGAATCTAGACACTGTGAACAATGCACATGTAGGCTGACTTTGGCACTAATTGGGCGTTCTTTGGAGCAATGAAATCTGTTGTGCAGAAAAAGAAACACGACAATGTTAATAAAGTGATGCAGCCTTGGGGGCCTGCGCGGCCTTTGTCTGTAGATAGTTGTGAGGAGGATACCATCTTTGTCCATTTTCTACAGATCCCAGAGCTGACTATAGGCCATGCCTTACTATACTGCACAGGTCATCACTCTCTTAAATGTCACTTCATTCCTCCGCCATTAGTTCCTAACTCTTTGTCCGTTGTTGTAAATATTGTAAAAACTCGTAATATGACATGCTTGACTCTGTTTTATCTTCTACCATGTGTTGAAAGAACAATTGTCGGTTTTTGCTGTCCTCCCTGAAACAAAAGAATACAATCATGAGGGAATATTTTCCCAAAGTGTTTATATGAGTGAGTACAGTTTACCTTGCTTTTAGCAATATTCCAGCAATATCGCCGCAGGGCACACCAGAAATGGGCTTGACGCATTGCACCCATGTAGGGAATCGAACCCAGGTCTTCCGCATGACAAGTGAACACTTTAACCACTAGGCTACCACACCGCCCCCTCAAAGTGTTTAATGCATCTAAGATACTGCAACCAAACATTTAAACATATTGTTGATGGGGCGGGATCCACATGATGTACAACAATTCACACAGGCTAAACTGTCAAGCAAAAGAAAGCATAAACATGATAATTCACAATTTATTCTGCTCATTATTATGTACAGTGAAATTGAGACCCCTAAGTTCCTTGTAACATGATGTGCACATCATCTGCCGTTGCATAATGCATAATATGACCTCTGATACCTGTATCAACTACTTCACCATTGAATAACCATTTCATTACCAGTCACCATTAAACACAGGTGTATACTTTCTTCCACACAGCTGTTTATGTATATGGTGTATGTCATCAAGTAAACAGATTAGAGAATACACACAGCAATTTCTTTCAGATGTGTGTATTTTGTACCAATAATATATTAAGATTCACAGTGAGGTGGTCATAATTGATATACCTCAACCTTGAATCCAAATCACCCACTTTCCAACTGTACCCATGGAGATATGCATTGCAGATGTCATATGACTTACCGAAGCACCAGGAAGCTTGCTCCATACGGCCTGCTGTCCATCAGATAGTTGATGAAATTGCGTAACCTTTCTGAGGACGGATTTTCACACTCTGGCAGGTCATTCTGGAGAGGAGATATTTACATAATCACAAATGACAGTAGAAATGATGAACCAAAAGATTATGTCATTTCAGCTCAACTTCTTTCTCATGAAGAGATCTACAGATATGTTTGCTTGTCTGGTTGTTTTCGTTAAACAATGAGAAATATTCCAGTTTTTGGCAATCTGGACCACACAAACCAATGACTGATGTCATGAGGAACATCATGTAAGCTCTTTATGGTTCAACACACAAGGCGTGTAGTTCATGTTCTGGGACTGCAGTGATCACTGACATAGGCCACTTCTACAATCAGTGAATACATCACTGGTATCAACACCCAATGTTCCTCTTTCACCCAGGAGAGTAAATGAAGTAAGATGTCTTAGCTATTGAAATGCGGCTGTAACTCGCAGAATGAGTGAAAGAGTGAGTATTGCCTTACGCTGCTTTTAGCAATAATCCAGCAATATCACGGCGGGGGACACACATTGAGCCCACGTGGGGAATCGAACCCGGGTCTTCAGCGTGATGAGCGAACACTTCGGCTACTAGGTTTCCCCACCGCCCCATAACTCACAGAAGCTCAATGATCCCATGCATGCACCTATATTTACACAATACATAAACCAGTTGAACACATATTCTAAGGCGCATGTTGCAAAAGAAACAAGGCTGTAATCTGAGTGCTCATCAATCTGGGCACTCACACTGAGCAAACCTGTCAATGAAAGCAGGGTGATGTAAATTTGTTTGTCAAAAACACAGCCTTATTTACTGAAGGGGATGGAGGAACGTTGTGTAAACAAACCTTTCAAGTATTGACTGTGTAACAGTAATGATAATCAAACACTCACCATTCCTTCAGGTATTGACATGAAGTTTGGTTTGTCTAGAATATCCTGACAAAACTGGTCACTGACAGCTCCTCCCACCATCAGGTATAGGTCGGTGCCGACGTCCATGATGTATGCTCCATGGCGGTCGATGTTGGCTGACGATAACTGCAGCAATGGCGGCTTTGGGATTACCAAACCTCCCCTTGTCATTGTGCTCTGGAAGAAAGTGACTGGTCATAAAACATATTCACAGAGAGTTAGTAACAGACTGATGAGATTGCATATATAGAGAATAATACACTCGGTCTCATTACATACAAATTATACGAAACGAGTGTCCTTCCTATGGTATCTGACCTCGCTTTTGCTCGGTCAGATAACATAGGAAGGTCACGAGCTTCGTATAATTCGTATGTAATAAGACCGAGTGTGGTATTTTATTTATTACCCACGTCTTGCATGCATTAAATTGACAAAATAGCGTATTTTTGTTATTGTTATGGTTTCAAACCGAAACTGGTTTCATAAAGAGGTTGCATAAGAATTTGTTCTGTAGTACACTTTTGCATGATGTCACACTGTATTGACGCCACTACGCCATTCTCGTCTGTCTCCTTGGTAACTGACGTCACAATGCATGTCAGTTGTCATCGCCTCTCGTACAGCCTCCTACAGTAAACTACTCCGTAGCACCCCGTTTCTTGGTTTGCAATTGCTTCACTCGGCTAACATCACTGGTGGAAACATTGCGTTTATGTTTTTCGACGGATATAATGTCTCAGTTCGACTCACAATTAAACAGCAACACGGGAACATTCGCAATGTTAACATTCCCACAATGCATATAAGTTGTAGAATGAATGAATTCACGTGTTTGTTAAGAATGAACAAGAACCTAACTGAGAGGCCATCGGTTATCCAATCAAATCGTTAGAATCTCAGGTCAAGTCGTTATGACACAGGTCAACGGTACACGGTACATGTGTGGGGTAGAAGCTCTGCATCAGATACATCAATTTATTACCCACGTGGTCAACGTATGGGTAGTTGCATACTGATCTCGTACGTCACAAAAGTGTCGTATCGCGTTGACCTGTGTCGTAACAACTTGACCTGAGATTCTAATGATTTGATTGGATAACCGATGACCTCTCAATTTGGTCATATTCTGACATAACTATTTTTTCATTCATAACAAACACGCTAATTCTTTCATTCTACAACTCAAATGCATTGTGGGAATGTAGACATTGCAAACGTTGCCGTGTCACTGTATAATTGTGAGTCGAACTGAGACGTTATATCTGCCAAAAAACATAAGCGCAATGTTTCCACCAGTGATGTTAGCCGAATGAAGCAACTGCAAACCAAGAAACGCGGTGCTACGGTGTAGTTTACTGTAGGAGGCTATACGAGGCGATGACAACTGACATGCATCGTGACGTCGGTTACCAAGGCAGTGACGTCATTACAGTGTGACGTCATGCAAATATTGTACTACAGTACAAAACTCTTCCGCAACCTCTTTATGAAACCGGTTTCGGTTTGAAACCAAAATATGAACAAAAATACGCTATTTTGTCAATTTAATGCATGTAAGACGTAGGTAATAAATAAAATACCACACTCGGTCTCATTACATACGAATTATACAAAACTTTCGTTCGGTCAGATACCATAGGAAGGACACTCGTTTCGTATAATTCGTATGTAATGAGACCTCGTGTAGTATTCTCTATGGCCTTGTACAACAGAAGCCTGGTCTGAAGCAGCTTACCTTCTCCTCTATGGAGTGTACAGGGTACATGTGTGGGGTAGAAGCTCTGCATCAGATACATCAATGGCAGAGTACAACAGAAGCCTGGTCTGAAGCAGCTTACCTTCTCTATGGAGTGTACAGGGTACATGTGTGGGTAGAAGCTCTGCATCAGATACATCAATGGCAGAGTACAACAGAAGCCTGGTCTGAAGCAACTTACCTTCTCCTCTATGGAGTGTACAGGGTACATGTGTGGGTAGAAGCTCTGCATCAGATACATCAATGGCAGAGTACAACAGAAGCCTGGTCTGAAGCAACTTACCTTCTCCTCTATGGAGTGTACAGGGTACATGTGTGGGTAGAAGCTCTGCATCAGATACATCAATGGCAGAGTACAACAAAAGCCTGGTCTGGAAGCAACTTACCTTCTCCTCTATGGAGTGTACAGGGTACATGTGTGGGTAGAAGCTCTGCATCAGATACATCAATGGCAGATATTAACAGAAGCCTGGTCTGAAGCAACTTACCTTCTCCTCTATGGAGTGTACAGGGTACATGTGTGGGAAGAAGCTCTGCATCAGATACATCAATGGCAGAGTACAACAGAAGCCTGGTCTGAAGCAACTTACCTTCTCCTCTATGAAGTGTACAGGGTACATGTGTGGGAAGAAGCTCTGCATCAGATACATCAATGGCAGAGTACAACAGAAGCCTGGTCTGAAGCAACTTACCTTCTCCTCTATGGAGTGTACAGGGTACATGTGTGGGTAGAAGCTCTGCATCAGATACATCAATGGCAGAGTACAACAGAAGCCTGGTCTGAAGCAACTTACCTTCTCTATGGAGTGTACAGGGTACATGTGTGGGTAGAAGCTCTGCATCAGATACATCAATGGCAGAGTACAACAGAAGCCTGGTCTGAAGCAACTTACCTTCTCTCTATGGAGTGTACAGGGTACATGTGTGGGAAGAAGCTCTGCATCAGATACATCAATGGCAGAGTACAACAGAAGCCTGGTCTGAAGCAACTTACCTTCTCTATGGAGTGTACAGGGTACATGTGTGGGAAGAAGCTCTGCATCAGATACATCAATGGCAGAGTACAACAGAAGCCTGGTCTGAAGCAACTTACCTTCTCCTCTATGGAGTGTACAGGGTACATGTGTGGAAGAAGCTCTGCATCAGATACATCAATGGCAGAGTACAACAGAAGCCTGGTCTGAAGCAACTTACCTTCTCTATGGAGAGTACAGGGTACATGTGTGGGTAGAAGCTCTGCATTAGATACATCAATGGCAGGGTACAACAGAAGCCTGGTCTGAAGCAACTTACCTTCTCCTCTATGGAGTGTACAGGGTACATGTGTGGGTAGAAGCTCTGCATCAGATACATCAATGGCAGATATTAACAGAAGCCTGGTCTGAAGCAACTTACCTTCTCCTCTATGGAGTGTACAGGGTACATGTGTGGGTAGAAGCTCTGCATCAGATACATCAATGGCAGATATTAACAGAAGCCTGGTCTGAAGCAACTTACCTTCTCCTCTATGGAGTGTACAGGGTACATGTGTGGGAAGAAGCTCTGCATCAGATACATCAATGGCAGAGTACAACAGAAGCCTGGTCTGAAGCAACTTACCTTCTCCTCTATGGAGTGTACAGGGTACATGTGTGGGTAGAAGCTCTGCATCAGATACATCAATGGCAGAGTACAACAGAAGCCTGGTCTGAAGCAACTTACCTTCTCCTCTATGGAGTGTACAGGGTACATGTGTGGGTGAAGCTCTGCATCAGATACATCAATGGCAGAGTACAACAGAAGCCTGGTCTGAAGCAACTTACCTTCTCCTCTGGAGTGTACAGGGTACATGTGTGGGTAGAAGCTCTGCATCAGATACATCAATGGCAGAGTACAACAGAAGCCTGGTCTGAAGCAACTTACCTTCTCCTCTATGGAGTGTACAGGGTACATGTGTGGGTAGAAGCTCTGCATCAGATACATCAATGGCAGAGTACAACAGAAGCCTGGTCTGAAGCAACTTACCTTCTCCTCTATGGAGTGTACAGGGTACATGTGTGGGTAGAAGCTCTGCATCAGATACATCAATGGCAGAGTACAACAGAAGCCTGGTCTGAAGCAACTTACCTTCTCCCTCTATGGAGTGTACAGGGTACATGTGTGGGTAGAAGCTCTGCATCAGATACATCAATGGCAGAGTACAACAGAAGCCTGGTCTGAAGCAACTTACCTTCTCCTCTATGGAGTGTACAGGGTACATGTGTGGGTAGAAGCTCTGCATCAGATACATCAATGGCAGATATTAACAGAAGCCTGGTCTGAAGCAACTTACCTTCTCCTCTATGGAGTGTACAGGGTACATGTGTGGGTAGAAGCTCTGCATCAGATACATCAATGGCAGAGTACAACAGAAGCCTGGTCTGAAGCAACTTACCTTCTCCTCTATGGAGTGTACAGGGTACATGTGTGGGTAGAAGCTCTGCATCAGATACATCAATGGCAGAGTCTTGCACTGCAGCAGACTGAACACACGGTCGTCAAGCTTCACATTGGTGGACGACCGGAAGGCACTCTGGAAAACCAATGTAACAGGTTGGTTAACATGGTGCAATAATTCCATCATAATTCATGAACATCCACACTGTATGTAGCTGGTACTCACAGTGAAATATCAATTGCTACACATTAATCATGTATGCTGTCATAACTTTGCATCAGCTGGGGACAGCCAAGACAGACATAATCATTTTGATCTTGGTTTTATTTTTGACATTGTTAAAAGAAACTTTCAGGATTTGCTTGCTTGTCTTTTGATGCCACACTCAGCAATATTCCAGCTATATGGCATCAGTCTGTAAATAATCAAGTCTGCACCAGACAATCTCAGTAGTCATCATCATGAGCAACGATCTACACATTTGGGATACAATGACATGTGTCAACCAAATCAGAGAGCCTAACCACCTGATCGTCAACTCTCCCGACAGGCAATGTTGGCTGATGACCAATTCTAACACGGATCTTCACGGGTCTTGTAGTAGAAGAAATCACAAGCCAAGGCAAACATTATAACCACTTGTTTTGCATTCTTGCCAATTCATACCTCCTGTATTCAACATCACAAGACTTCCTAACCATCTATATATACACCCCTTACTAGTAAACTTACACTTTTGAGCATAGCAAGAATATAGAGAGGCAGGATTCGAAGCGTGAAGGGCAATGGTAGAGCTCCCATCCTCTGTGATGCAGGGATCTGTTGGCGGTATGACAGCACACAATCCAATGCTGCATTGATGAGAGCGTCCCTAGCATCACCCATACTGGAGGACACAGATCGGTCGACCGCTGCAACAGGTGTACTGATCATTATGCAAAGTTCCATTTATTCTAACACTTTGTTTGTTATTTAAAGCAGCACTCAATATTCCACCCATATAAAAGTGAACTGTAAATAATCAAGTCTGGACCAGACAAACCAGTGACTGACATGACAACCAATGACCACTGGGCATATGATGATATACATGAAATTAGTGAAGTTCACCACACATTCACAATACTTGTCTCTTAGAAGTTGAGGGGCGGTGGGGTAGCCTAATGGTTAAAGCGTTGGCTCGTCACGCCGAAGACCCGGGTTCGAATCCCCACAAGGGCACAATGTGTGAAGCCCATTTCTGGTGTCCCCCGCCGTGATGTTGCTGGAATATTGCTAAAAGCGGCGTAAAACCAAACTCAGTCAATCAATCAGTCTTAGAAGTTGATCCTCCATAAAGTTTTGTCAACTCTTGTCTCTTATGACAAGCAGAGTTGCTGAAGTATATTTTTCGACCTGAGTCTAACCCATCTTCCCATCAGTGTTGCATCCAACTACACACGTGAATGAGTTAGTTTAGTTTAACGCCACACTCAGCAATATTCAAGCTACTGTAAACGTACTTATTTTCGCGTGGTGCAATTTTCGCGGAATTGACAGTTTAGACTACATCGCACGGTCAATTATTCGCGAAGTCAGTAATTGCCGGAACTGCCAGCTGTCTCTTTCGCCGCCACTAATAGCAGTGAAAACAAACAGAGTGGCTTAACCTGTCAGGCGGCGTTTATTGCTTACTCGCAGGAAATCCCTATCTGTGCGATATACTAGTACACAGTAATCCGTTTACTCACGGAAGAGATGAAAAACACATCAGTCTTATGTTCAATTCTGACGATCTGATCTAATTAACTTCTACTGTATATGAAGCTCTTTGTGATTTCAAACAAACCGGGTTGTTGTGAATGAGATGATTGGGTGTTAAGTGACTATTAAACCTTCATGATGTACTGGTAAATAAAATCTTAATGAATAAATAAAATACTGCTGTATTATTTCTTTCCGAAGTCGCTTCATGGTAATCTGTTTTGTATCAAACCATCTGTCATGTGACCAATTTCCATGGCGGCCACAACACACATTGCTGTTTTCGCTAATTCGCAATGGGATTTGGATCATTATTTAATTATGTTATGGGAAATCCATTACAGCGACAGTTAAGTATGATTCTTTATGCTACTATCAGTCGTCATTTTAAGATTCCCGTAGATTTCTGTCTTCAAACTTGATGTGTTATGGTAACAGCTCAGGGGCGAGCGTGGCTAGACTGAATGAATGACAGGTTTATTTGCGGTGTATAAATTTTTGCGCTAAAATGTTAAGCGCGAAAATAAAACCTGCGCGAAATATAATACGTTTACAGTATATGGTAGCGGCCACTACACAAGTGCCACTACTTACCCATCTTAGCCAGCAGACACACGATGCCCTGTTGATCTGCGCCAGCATACACGTCACTCAGCTGATTCGTCACAGGCAGACACAGCGTGTGTACTCGGATACGCCTCTCTCCTACAGGAACACAACATGAATGTGAAAACAAGACAAGATATGGTATGTGGTCCTGGTCAAATAAGGTAGAGTTTAGCACAACAAGCAGTGAAGGTGGAAACGTGACTGTCCTCAGAAGTCTCCTGCGAGTATCTTGGGTTTCAGTTCTCCCAACATTAGGTAACGGCTCATAAAACATGAGTCATCTTCTTTGGAGACTGACTTTTAAAGCTGCAACAGTACACCATGGTCCTCACTGTACCGCGATATTTACCATCAATTATCAATTCTGTTGTTTTGTATTTCGGTTTGGGTATGGTGTTAGCATTACACATTGCCCGACAATACAAGCCTCTTGATTGGTCAGTTCTTTATTCTCAGGTAATTGCTATTTATTATATTTGTTATTTCCAGTCAGGGCTTCACAGTTAATCATTAGCTAATTTTCGTCAGCAAATATGATATTTGTTAGCCAAAATATTCTGTTTCTGATGTTTTCTATGCACTATTGAATCGAAATATACCAAACTGAGAGGTCTGTACATATTGCATCGCAACGATGGTATATCACTGCAGCTCTATTGACTTTGTTCCCAACATGTCACTGATCACTAATCTGCAATAGTGGGCTAAACCTACAATGGGCTTCTCACACTGAAGCAACCTGAAACCAGATTTTCCTTGTGACAGGGATATCTTAACCACTTAGCTAATATCAGAAGGGAGGTAAAATGGGCGTTCATTTTGTGTTCAAGATAATTGCACTTCTATAGCGGCAACTGTCAATCGTAGCCCAATGAGATATCATGTGACAGTTGTAAGATGTATACCCTACTCAGGCAAAGTATCCTGACTACAAGCTGACCGGTGCCTTTTAGTCAAGTGCCAGGGAGTTTAACAAGTACGATCTTTTAATTCTTTGGGGCAGTTGGGGCAGTTGGGGCTCAAACCACAGAATTTCCACTATCAGAGGCTCTATCCACCAGGCCAAAGAGACTGTCAGCTGGTATCAGAACTATACATCCTCAAACACAAACCTTTGCTGGAGGTGTACAACAGAGCCGCCTGGAAACACACATTGGATGTGTCTGTCAAGTTGTCCTCGATAGACATCTGCATGCCGAACCCAGCATCAGGGTTGATGTTAGGCAACGACAGCAGGTCCGTCGACCGCACAAAGAAGTTGCCGTGGAACGTGTGAATGCTAAGTCCTCTCGTGCATCGTATCCTCATCACAGCTTCGAAGCCAATCTTCCTGGTGAGATATCTCCTGAAGTCTGCGTCATACTTGTCCACTAACCCGGGCGTCTTCAGTGTGTGGAAAGATGGATAGTAATACACACAACCAGCGGAATACTTTGACACACACGCTGAAATACAGATGATGGATAAGGATTTTAAAAAATTAAATGGGCAGGTGGAAATAACAAAGATGTTAGGTGTGCTGTTTGGAACTTAATTGCACTGATATTGTTTTTCAACAATCTATACAAGTCCTCTGTGTACATAAGCCGTCACAAGGTTGTGGTTCACATGAAGCAAAAATGTACAGTACATGGTGGTTTTCAAACAGAACAAGAAAGAATGAATTAGGTCTCTATTTCTCCTCAGGTACTCGAGGACAATGCAATAAAGTGAGGCAGGATGAAAATCTAATGATTAACTTAGTGAGTGAGTGAGTTTAGTTTAACGCCACTCTCAGCAATATTCCAGCTATATGGCGGTGGATTATCCTAGCGACTGCAGCAAGGTCAATATCTGGTATAAATGACATGCAATGTTTCCAAAACAAAATTTGTAATATATTTCACTTATCCTATTGAAAGGCGTACGTTGAACATATGCTGATTCTACTAAAATCAAAATGGTTGACATTCTTTATATGTTGTACTTGTACTTACTTAGTGTTGCTAAATCTGCGTACTGGCCATTGAGCAAGAACAAGTCCACTGATATCTGCTGTGCTGAGCAGTCCAACGCAAGCTTCTTGTAGAAATCGGTAGCTGGACCCAAATGGGGCACATTCTGAAAATACCAGAATAACATCACTAAATGCATGATATCTACCTGAATCACTGCCTCCAACTTCAGGAGGCCCTACACAATAATTCAGCTTATGACAGACAGGTCTAAGATGTAATCCACAGATGCAAGAGGCACTGTTTCAGGGTATGGGGTGTAAAAGCTAACAGTCTTCAGAGGTTAGTTGAGAATGAATACATTAAGAGTTAATGTAATTGGTAAATGGAATAAGATTAAGTGGGTTTGCTTCAACACCACTTAAAACATCATTTCAGTTACATCACAGCATGTGCATCATGTGGGAGAACATCCATATGTGATACAGGATCCACTTGCACAAACTGATGGTGGTGATGGTGATTTTCATGGAGAAGCATGTACAATGTGAATGACGCTCCCCCCCTAAAATATATGTACAAAGTAAGTGACCCCGCCCTGCATGTCATGTACAAAATCAATGACCCCCCTTCCCTTCCAATAATGTTTAAGCATAAGTTTTTAATTTTTCTATGTAAAAATGCTGACCCCCTATTACATGTGTACAAAATTGATGACCCCACTGCCTCCCCAGAAGAAAACGGGTGACACCCCCCCTTAAAATCATCACCCCCACCACCACCACCCCAGCCATAAATTATGAACGGTCCCATAAGCAACAAGGATATATAATCTTGAAGCATTATAGCTATGATTGTGATAACTATTTGAGTAAACTGCTCCTTACCTTAGATGAAACATTGCTTGGCATCTCCCTTGTTTGCAGTGCGCCAGGTCCGACTGTTGGTAGTACCGTCTGCATAACTGTCACTCGGCCTCCAGAACCACTCTGTAGACACATTACAGGGAGTGAGTGAGTTTTAACTCAATTTTTACCCAAATTCAAGCAATATCTTGCCTGGTGACACCAGATATGGGCTTCACACATTGTACTCATGTGGGGAACCTGCATTACCATGACGACCCAACGCTTTACCCCACTGCCCCACACACATCACAGAATATCCCAGTAATTCTTCATTCTATTCAACATAGCAAGCTGTTAAATCTACACATGACACAGTGGAATACCAAACTCCTTAAAAACCTAGACTTTGCAGCAAAGTCTGACTTACAAGTGAGTGAGTGAGTTTAGATTTACGCTGCTTTTAGCAATATTCCAGCAATTTCACAGCAGGGGGGACACCAGAAATGAGCTTCACACATTGTTCCCATGTGGGGACTAGAACCCGGGTCTTTGGTGTGACGAGCGAACGCTTAAACCACTAGACTATCCCACTGCCCCCTGACTTACAAATATATAGGCTTTATGACAATAGCAACCAAAATCCATTACTTTATATATTTGTATTCCCTTTTCAAACAGATATCGAGCATGAAGACCATCTGGTTCCTTTACAAAATCATTTCGTCTATTCAGAAGTAGAATAATACCACTTAACTCACTACACATTTCATGTATTGCATGATTTCAATGTTTATTCTTATGTATGCTATAATCACTTTTAACTTGAAGGATTTCTTGTTTGCAGCATACAATATTTCAAGGTCTGTTTGGAAGTATAATATTAAGACAGAACTGACCGCTAGTTTGAAGGCTGCCTGTAAAGCTGCCCCCAGGGCACTGCCTGTCTCCCTGTTGTCCTGGAAGAGGTTGGGCAGCTGGTTGATAAGGTCAATCACAAGGTCTTTGCTCTCACTCAAGTTCACAAGAAGGTTGTCGGGGCAGGGCAGGAATATGTCTGGAAGTATATGCAAAGAAAACATACAGACAAAGCTAACAATATTATCATAAAAGATGAGGAAGCTAGGGAGTGGATGTAGTTGTTTAATCCAAGAATTCATGCATCTGCATAACTTGAATAAGTGTGCATTAGAGCTTAGCGCAAAAGCATAATGCACAATGCATCTCTTAGACAAGTAGAAATTTTGTATTTTTTTAAATCTGTAAGTTATTTGATATACCTTCAAGATCTGGAACCACCATCATCTGTGGCTGAGACTGTCCTTCCGCCAGGCCAAAGAAGTAGAGGTACTGGTCGTAGGCCAGGAAGGCGATCTGTGTTCGGGTGTCTCCTGGAATCTTGTCCAGCTCATCCAGCAGAACCTGGCAGAACATCTGTAGGTAGCCTGTTAGAACACACAGGGATATGGTCAGCAACTAATACAGGAGGAGTTGTGTACAAACAACAGGATGCTCAAAATTACTGTTTGAATCTCAGAAAAAGCATGCAAACATTTCACTATTGTTTCAAAACTGAAAATTTGCTCAGACAATGTCTCTTTTCGCAAGCAGAAGAGACAATTTCATCTAACTCTACTAACAAAAAAAATACCTTCATAAGGTATGCATAAAATATCCTGATAAGCCAGCTTTCACCTTCAGTAGGGGTATCACTTATTCCTCCTAGCCGGAACATTTTCCACTACATACAGTTTATTGTTTACTGCCATTGAGTAATATTCCAACTGTATGATAGATGTATGTAGAGAATCAAGTCCACATGAAACAGTCTCTAAGACTAGGATTTTAGCTGTTTGTTATAAGTTGTTGTCCGTTGTTTAACGCCGTACTCAGCGATATTCCAGCTACATGGCATCAATCTGTAAATAATCGAGTCTGGACCACACAATCCAGTGATCAACAGCATGAGCATCAATGTACCATCCAATCCCGTTATTCGCCTCTTACGACAAGCATGGGTTGCTGAAGACCAATTCTAACCCGGATTTTCACGGGTAGTGTCTGAATATATCGACATCAACCATGTCTCTGAGACTGGCCACACAATCCATTTAAGGACTTCCTACAAGCATAGGTGGGTCAGGATAAAACTTAACAAATACTGCAAACCGAGCCTCTCTCAAAATCAGATAATACACAATGCAGACATCAACAATACATACCAGTTTCAATGGCATTGAAAGACACATCTAAAAGGAACACATACACTGCCGGTTGAGGGGGCCGCAACTGAAACAAAAAGAGTCGTAAACAGTCACCCATTTAACAACTTTCCCAGACCAACATTGAAAAACGTTCCCTCATTTGTGACCTGTGCACGGTACACTAGATCATGTGCCAGCTCACAATGAATGTTTATACTTTCTTGTAACTATTTTTAACACCAAGGAATGAGGTTTATATAAACTGAGCGTTTTCATTTCTGATAAAATGCAAACTTAGCTTTATCTGAACCACTTTTAAAATCGCAAAATCATAATGCAGCTTCAAAGAGATTGAGTTTGTTTTGTTCCTTGTTTAAAGCTGCACTCCACAAAATTTCCAGCTATATGATGGCTTGCTGAAGAGGAATTCTAACCCAGATCTTCACATATTCAAAGAGAGGAAGATTCAAGAAAGGAACCCTGAGGAAAAGGATTTGCCAACATGCAAGAGTAAATTGCACCTCTGCAGCCATGTATACTTCATGTCTGTGTAAAGCTATTACAAAATCTGCATCAATATCATGTCGTTTTTTCTTGTCATGTTTACAATACTACAACATACTGAAACATTGATAGAAAGATAGCTCCAACTCACCATATACTCTGATGGTGCTATGAACTCTATTGTTGCGGATTTCACCTCTGGTCGACGCTGTGGATCTCCATATGTTTTACTGACTGGATCAAATGAAAATTCATCTGGTACTGAAATTAAACAAACATAACCAACATGACATATCAAAAACATAACAAAAAGGTAATTTCAAGATTTCGTACAAACAGACCATAATTTACAAAAACATATTATCAACACGGGCACAGCTTTCAGATTATATCCCTGTTCTAAATTTATGTCAAAAGATCCTGACACAGCTTGGAACTTACTAATTTAAATTCCCTGAGGAAACATAATCAGAAAACTGCAGCGCCATATTTGGGTTATCCACCTGTGCGTGTGGTTATCACTGAAAATGTGTTAAATTAAATATAAACATATTTAAGCCTTAAATGTTTTGATCAAATAGCTAAAAAGGGAGCAATTCGAATGCTGTATACTTACGTTCATTGACACGATAACACAGGTTGCACTTCCATCTCCTCTGATCAACAAAGTGTACGAAGGGGTTGATGTATGTCCGACACGAGCGACAACGCACTATTACACTGGACTGGATAACAGGAAGTTGCTGAAACACAAACACCTGATGAGTAAACCTCTGCTGTCAATCTGCAGCCATGCAAGGATAGCTCCTCTGGAAGATACATCCCTTAGTTCATCCTCGCTAAAATGGTAGGAACCTTCCATGTGTGTCGATGACCAAAAAGTTGTTCAAAATAAACAAGCATTGTCACTAAGGTGACATAATCCCCCGCCACAAATGATCAAATCAAACTTATAAAGTAAAGAAAGTTTAAGTTAAATGTCAAAAAAATATGTGACCAGTCAACCTCTCTTGATATCTTGTGTTCAAACACACACATATTTTCAAGACTGACTTTGACCTTGACATGAATGTCATAGTGTATGAAATATGCAAAAATAGTACGAAAGAAATTTCTTATTGAAAAACATTTAAGGGAAGTCTTGAAAGTCTGAAGACAATCCAGTGAACGGTTCTTGAGATAGCTTAACATGCAGGTAATACGTGAAAGTCCCCTTGTGACCTTGAAATGAAGGTCAAGGTCACCAAACCTGACTTGGGCCCTTCTTATACTGTGATGAACCTAGGTACCAATTATGAAAAGAATCTAGAGAACGGTTCTTAAGATATTCCAATTCGTACGTACGGACGGAGCCTAATACTCTATACCCCTCTTCGCGCTCAACGCGCGGCGCGGCGGGATATACAAAGGCAGCAATTTGTAACTAGGAATGGAAACAAAGAACCGTATTGTCAGTCCAAGTGTTGCTAGCCAATACTGAAAGCAGAGCTCTTTGACTCCTCAGTTCACTATCATTTAAGACCTGAGTCAGGGCTGTCACAAAGTTATGCTTGAAATGCCATACCTTGACAATCATTTGTTTGGAACAGAAAGTTAATGGTGTCAAAATTCCCATGCTGTAGCCTTATTTTGTCAATTACTGGACACACCATACTTTTACATGTTACTGTTAGCATCAACCAATCACTTGTAACAAAAGTCAAGTACTGCATTCTGAATATATACTTCGTATCTAAGAGAGCTCCTCACAGATATATGTCATTTCCTGAACTCTTAACACAGTAAGTTAATGCAGACATCACAAAATTTCTGGAGAGGTTCAACATCAAGTTCACGATTAGAGCCACACGTAACACATCATATACTACCCATCAAAAGTTTAGACACACTTAAAGCACTCACTATAGTCTAGTAGGGAAAACGTACCAATGAATTTCACTTTAAACAAAAAAGTAAATCACATAAAGTGAAATTAAGATTGCGAATCCTCATGATTTTACCTTGCCAATTGAACTTTTAAATCTCAGAATTTTATTCAACTTAGGGATAAAAGTTGTTTAACAAACGATCATAGTTTCAAATCGCTATTATCGGTTTGTATTACAAGGGGGTACGCGCAGTAGTTGGAATAGAGAAACAAATGCACGTGCGGTGCGTGATGACTGTTAACTTAGACTACCGTAGAAACCAACCCTTCTTGTTCTTTGGGTTTAATTTAATGTGCATACACATTTTGACACACCAGAATAGAACTAAATTTATGAAATAAAGATTCAATAATAGATTTGATAATAATAAAATGGTGATCACTACTATAAAAGCATCTCATTAGCAAATGATTGCCAGTTTGTGCAAGGATGCATATCAGTAGAGATGAAGCTTATCATTATATTGCTATGCAGAACTGTATCATTTTAAGCAGTAGTTAAAAAATCAATAACACAATCATTACTGTTGAGATGAATTTACATTATATATTTATTTTGATTGGTTCATTGTATCATGAAAAAATAGTTTTACCAAACAGACAGATCTGTCAATAACCCTACCAACAGATCTACCATAAACCAAAAAAACACATCTACCATCAAATAACCAACGGATCTATAACCAACCAAACCAAAGGATCTATAACCAGCAAAACCAACAGATCTAGCAACCACAAAACAAACACAAGAAGCCACCACTGCAGTTTGTGCCAAACAAATTAAGTGAACCAACAAATTCTTCACCAATCTTCCACATTAATGTTTCTGTCGTTTGATAATCAAGTTAATCATAGGCTGACTGACTGACTGAGTTTTGGTTTTATGCCGCTTTTAGCAATATTCCAGCAACATCACAGCGGGGGGGACACCAGAAATGGGCTTCACACATTGTACCCATGTGGGGATTCAAACCCCAGTCTTCGGCGTGACGAGCCAACGCTTTAACCATTAGGCTACCCCACTGCCCCGTTAATCACAGAGATTACATATTAATGTGGGAACATATTAAAACATCCACATCCTTAGAAATTCACGCTAATCAGCAAGTTCAAGTCTAATGAATTGTGCTGAAGATGCTTATATCCAATGTGGTAGTCCTCACTTGAGGTCTGTAATTCCAAACAAGTTCTCAATGCTTTAATGCTACAAATTTGATCTGAATAAAACTGACAGAACACGTGAACATAGTAAATAGTATTGTCTCATTCGACTAGCGACTTGTCTAGACAAGTCTAAAAATAATAACCATTTGAAAGGCTGTGCCACATGTTCATGAAAGGAAATACTGCTAAATATTAACAGGCTATGATGTACCAATATGTTACACTGTATATATGACAGACTGCATGTTTTCTGGCGGAAGGGCACAGAGGACTGGTTCTTGTGTTCGAGACACACATAATTTGTGCAATAAGAAATGAGTGAGGAGAATTTTCTGATAATTTTCTGATAAAACTTGTTTTCTGCATTTCCATGCTTATTTTTTACTCTGCATATGATCAGCTTGTACACAGGGTTCGCCACAATGTGTAAATCACGCATGTTTGACGCAATAATCAGGTTTTGAAATATGCAAAAAAATTAAATAAAAGTTGATGCAACTAAATACTTGCAAGTTTAGAAATATGTAAATACTTATCAACTGTTAATGTGTTCTTTCAATTGGTGAAAACATTTCTGTGAAAATGAAAGTTAGATCTCGGTGGCTGTGATCAGAAAATTCCATTCTGGCTAATTATAGACACAGACGTAAGATAGTTCAACCAATCAGCTCATTGCTACCTAGAGGGGCAGTGTAATTGAAAGGCTATCCTAATCCATTTCTGGCGCAGTTGTCGGTCGTGTTGTCTGACAAAAAACAGTCAGGGTTGTAGTCAGTTTTGGTATTACAAAGAAACTGAAAAAATTCACAGACATCATACTTAGAAAATCATGATAATGCCAATTAAGGCACCAGTAGCAATGAAAATGTCAGTAAGAAGCCAAAACTCTGTCATAGTTTTCGCGATGTATGACTATCTGCATACCCGTGTAATCAAATATGTGCCTCTGAAGCCTTAATAAAAATCTGAGACGAGTCATGGTGACTCCCAAAATCAAATGTCTTGGGGAACCCTGAATACAAAACAGTTGTCACTCATGCATAACCATGTGTCTATACTGGCTAGCGAACAGTCATTGCCGCGTAACAGTTATCACCAATACATCAGTATCATATGTGCGCAGTTCCAGTCAACTACAATTCTGGTATTTTTTCCCCACGGTATTTGACAACAATAAAGGACAGCAAAGAAAATTCTTCACGGTAAGTAACATAAGAGAAAAATTAAAGATTAAGTTATGAACCCTATAAATTTATTTTAACTTAGGGGTATGTCCCACGACCTAGATAATAGCAAGTTGAAGTTCACAAGTCATTAATTGTTTCATTCCCTATCAATCTACTGTAAAAGAAACACTCAAATAGTCACACAATCAATTATTCGAGGTTACTGTATGATATAAATATGTATATTATTTCACGAATGAATAATTCTGTATCTAAAAGGAACTATTAATCAAAATAAGGAACATACTCCATCAATCATTGTTGTGCAAAAAGAATTACAAATATTTATATACGACTAAATAGCATGGCAGCATATGGATGCAAAAAGACAAATTAAACTGTTCTGTTCTGCTAATGAATTTTGATCAGACTTAATACCAAATTAATATCGTTTGATAGGCATTCTACAAGTTGGTGATAACACCTTCTGGTTTATAGCACAGAGCGACAATTCTTCTTTAGCACTTTTAACTTGGAGAATCTACACCGAAACATTGCTCTATACAAGATGGTGTTATCCATAAAGACACATGCTTTATCATTCTCATTAATATCATTTGAATTTCTTCATGCTGAAATGGCACATCTTTTTTCTCAAAATTCGGAACTTAGAACCAAACATTTTCAGGTCTTTTTTAAAAGTATTTCTGCCCAGTAAAACGTCCAGACATTTTCCAGGATCAAATGACATCCACTTTGAATCCAATCCAAATTCCACACACACTGCAATTCACTCCACAACGCTTTGTGAATGACATTGACAGTGACTTTGAACTTTGAAATGGGCGAAAGACATGACAGCTGTTGACAGCCAATGACAGGCATAAATAATCAGAATAAGTAATCCGACGAATGCCAATGAATACTGAATAACTTATCATGGCCATTTTTGATTATCTACAGTATTAGGTCTCAATTCTGTAATGATAAATTCTGTGTAGTCATTTGCCACCATAGCTGGTTTTCAGTCTAGTTTGCATGAGCCAATGCTAAAATAAACAATGGAATTACACTGTTCTTCCATGACTTATACAACCAGGAATATCACCTTAATTCATCCAGCCCTGTTGGGTTCAAACTAAAAGGCAACTTGGAACATCTTGCAGTACAATAACATAGCCCTCTCTCTCTGTTCAATGTTGATCACTGGATTGTCTGGTCCAGACTTGATTAATTACAGACTGCCGACGTATGTTGATCACTGGATTGTCTGGTCCAGACTTGATTAATTACAGACCGCTGACGTATAGCAGGAATATTGTTGAGTGGGGCGGTAAACAACAACCAAACCAAATCTATGTCTGTTAGAGTTCAATCGTAAGGATTGAACATTATCCAAGAAACAAATTTAACAGGGGCTCAAAACCCACAAATTGTACTAGTTCTCTGGACTACCACACATTTAAACTTTCCTGAGTATATTCAG